CAAAATATGTAATGTATCAAATAATGTTATAACTTAATTGGAAATTTGTTATCTACAAGTTTTGCTCCAGACCAGGGAAGAGAAGGGGCGTGCACAAAAATGTAATCCCATTCAACTCGTCAAATTCTTCCTTGTTCCACTAAAAAGAAAGCACTTGACTACCCTGTCCTGCTTCGTAACTGATAGTCCAGAAATAAATCTTCAACAATGATTCAGGAACATCCAACTTGAGCCTGAAATCTAATTCTATAGCTGCATTAAGAGATAAACATACCAACAGCTACATCTCTGTGGTTGGATAACCCACCACAGTTTAAGTTTCACAACTATTTTAGAAGCTGAAGAAGAACTTGAGCGAACTGAGCCTTGTTTTGTTTTATTGGTATTTGAGATTTTCTGCCAGGTTCGCTGCTTTGATAAATTTCGGCATTTATATATTGCTGAGCCCCAAAGGGAAACCCGGCCTGTGGCAAAAAGGAGGTTGGAGAATGTGAAGCGTGCATCAAACAGCTGGAGAGTGGACGAAAATAAACAGCTGCAAACGACATGATTGATAAAAAAAGAAAAGGTATGCATGCAGTGCAGGAGCAAAACAAAGAGCTTATCATTGTTGACAACATTGTGTTTCATTTAATTCTGCCCTACTAATCTCTTTTGATAACCGATGAGGCAAGAGTATAGACAAACATGCTGCTTTGGGTGAGGTGACACTGATAATGAATAAGACCTGGCTAGCTCTGGGAATCAGGCTAATGAGTTGGCTTTGGTTCAGACGGCCTTAAATTAACCTTGAAGGCGGCGGCTCTCTCCTAAATGTCTACAGGGAGTTGCTAATAAGGACGGCACAGCGGGCGATAGCAGGGGAGAGGAGATAACCTTTTCTGGTGAAGGCAGAGACCCTGGCAGATCCCTTAATCCCTTAATAAAATAAAAATACATAGCTTCACCTTAATTTGCCAGGGGCAGATCAATCAAGTACACTCGTTGTCTCTCAACACCAGTTTGTTTCACCTGCCTGATTCACTAACAGATGCTCATACCTGGGAACCGGCCAGCGCGCTCAGTCTGCTCATGCTACTGGCCGCTGCCTGATCCACAGGGTTCCAATTTCTGGCCAAGCCGGGTGCTTTTTTCTCACAGTATAATCAAAATCAGATTTAATTTATTAACTGGATTTAACCTTTTATTCTATTAAATTTGTAATGATAGTAAAACCACTCACAAATGGCTTTTATTCATTTTATATTCGTCCCAGATGCTGCCAGAGGTTACACATTCTGGAACTATTTATTCCTGGGAAACAAGCTCACAGATGCTGAGTCATTAAAGATCAGTTGGTTCTTATTTTCAATGCTAATTTGGACTAATGCTGTGTGTTTAAAGAATTGCATGGTACGGACTCCGTGTAATATGTTTCGCACATGTGGACATGCCAAAAGAAGTTGGCAAGCCAACATCAGTATGGAAAAGACTTTCTGAGAACAGAAGCCACGACAAGGGAAAGAAATAAAGCTGATTTATTACCAGAGAGGATTTAAACAATAACCAAGGGAGTTGCTTTGATGGAAGTGTAGTCTCAGATTTGCTTCAAAATGTTGCATCCCATGTGAGATCTTAGTCATCCCCTCTTAATATCTGTAAAACTTGGTGCTTTAGCAAAGACGGCTGGCACGCGATCAGAACAGGAGCAGCTGTGGGTTATCACGGTTGTCTTGATGAGCAACGATTTCATTTTGATCATGTTTGATTGTTCAATGAAATTAAAATTGGGAATATTTCAGGTGAGATCAGTGAATGAGAATCATATATATATATTCAAGCCATAAACCAGATAATAATGTCATCATTTATCTTTACACTATATACTATATATGTATACAAATACATACATATTTTACATTTAATATTTAATTCAGCCCATCATGCAGTGCATTGTTTACGCTTTAGAAACAGTTTGAATAAAACATACTACTTAATTATTTTGTGTCTGTTGTTTCTGTTGTTCTGCATCTTTTCTTTAACCTGCTCAGTCATTACGTGTTAACAATAATGGGCCACGTCTCAACCACTGAACTGAATAGGATGTGGAAATGATTAACAGTTCAACATAAACACTGTGTGATAATAAATCAACTGTGTGTGTAAATGCTGATCGTTTGCACCTTATCAATAAATTGCAGAAGTGAATGGCGTGGTTCAGCATCCATCATCGTCGGGTTCAGTGGCTGAGAAGTGGTCGAATGAACTGAGAACACCTGACCTCCGTTTGTAGACGGCCTGAAGCGCAGCAGATTCTTTCTCAGATAATATGTGCATATTTGTTTTTCTTTGCTCAGCTTTGTTGCCCTCGTTTTTTGCTTTTTGTCCATGTGCATCTCCCTGAACATTGTTATTGGCACTGACTGTGTCTTGTGATTGTGGTGGGGTTCACAGAGAGACACTGGAGTCCGTCTGCACAAACATGTAAACACTCATCTAGCAATAAACCAATCAGCCGATCGAGTGCCAGCAGAGCAATTCATAAAATCACACACACACAGGTACTGATTTTGCATCGATTTCCATTCATTCATTGTGGACGGCCCAACCAAAACATTAACCATGACCAATTCGTGCCTAACCCTAAACTTAACCACAGTTCACATCTTACCCTTAAACACAACCAGGACCCCTGTTATGACATTTTGCCTCATTAGGACGGGACTCTGGTCCCCACGAGGTCTACTGGCTCTGAAAAGGTTAGTGTTTGAAGAGGTAAGAAAAACTATTGCACCCACACCCTCACATGGTGTAAACAGCAAAGTGTGTCAGAGCAGAACATCTTACTCGACTGTACAATGTTTACAGTCAATTGAAAGCTTAACCAACAGACACGCAGCCAAATACAGCAGCAGCAGCAGCAGCTGCCACTACCCTCCTGCAGAGCATTTACATTAACAACAGATCATGTGTGTGCTGATGAACTATGAGGTTCATATTTCTAATAACAGATTAGAAACGACTGTAATCAAGTAACAGAAAGGGAGAAACTGCAGCATGCCAGCGATGAAATGTCATTGATGGGTTCTCTGTTTTCGGGGTAATTGACCTTTGCATGTGTCCTGACAGCCAAGAAAAGTTTTGAGGAGATAGTGAAACAAGCTCCTGCTAATCTCTTCGTGGATGTCTCAGCAGGCCAAAACAAAGACCTAGGAATGCTGTGGAGGCAAGGAAGGGGAATTTGGCATGACATCAATCTACTTCCAACATACGTGGAACAAGGAAAATGTCTGATGAGGTAGAAACTCCAGCAACGCTTGCACAAAGAGCAACTTATATACCTAGGGTCCAACAGTAGCCTTGCTTAAAGGCCCAACGAACAAGGAATACGCAGAAAGATAATGAGGAACTCTCCTTATAACTGCAATTTTTCACCTACTGTTTGTTCACTTATCCACGCTCTCAGATACACACATCTCTGACTCCAGTGACATACAGTAAGTCATGTCATAAAACAAGCAATAAAAACCCTGGTGAACCAAAGGAAGTTCAACTAAAGCTTAAGCACTTACTCTACGTCTAAGTATCTCTTAATGTGCACTATACTACTGCGGCTTGAGGCTCATTAACGTCTTATTTTGTGCACAAATATTATGTTTTCTTTTCTAAAGCAAACAGTTGTGTCTGCAACACATTTTACTCTTCTTGTTCTTGTCTCTGTGTGATGGTCTCAACCCCTGAAGGATATTTTTATTCATTTAAAGAAAATAACAAATAATCCATTCATTAAAACATACTAATAATACCACATAATGAGTATTTTAGTACTTTTGCCATATACTAACCATCAACGGTTGTTGGAATTTCATCTTTTTATGGATTAAA